GGCGTGCGGCGGATCTTCCTTTGGTAGAGGTTTGGCGGTGTTTTGTTACTCCGCCTTTGTGTTGGTAAGCTTCTGCTCTCCTCCTTCCTTCGTTTGCTGCTAGTCTTCAAGCTGTTCGCCACTGCTGCCGCTCTGTGAATTAGAGTCGTTGGTCTCCCTGTCTTATTGTCTCTTCGTTGAGTACAGTGAGCTCTGTTGTTTGTTGGAGTTTAGGTTGGTGTGGTTAGTGATTAGGTTGCAGAATCCTGGTTGTTCCGATCTTCAGCTCATAGGTCTGCAAAGGGAATGAATTATTCATGAAGATTGTTGTTATTTGTATGGCCTCCTTTCAAGAGCCGACTTCTCTTGCTCCTTTGGTCACCAGGTTCCATCGCTATTCGTGCCATCTCCCAAGTCATTGCAGACTTAATGCTTTAGACTTGATTTGCCCGAGTCTCTTTCTGCTTGTTCAGGATTCTAGTGAGTTTCGGCTGGAAGGAGTAGTTGTCTTTGCTTGATACAGGTTTTGAGGTTAGCCTTGTGTCGCAGATTCGATGGCATGTCCACGCAACTCCGGCTATGTCGCGCTTGTTGGCTTTGCTACTTGATGTTTGAGTTTATTCTGCTACCTTGGTTCACCTCCTTCAATGCCTTTCGCTCTCTTTCATCAGCTAAGTATTTGTAGTGGCTAGTGAAACTTCAGTTTGGTTGTGGTTTACTGTGATTGTTCTTTGCATTTTGGAGGTGTTAGTATGTGGCTTTTGGAGGATATGATGTTGCTTTGTTCGCGCTACTGTTGGGGTCTCGGTAGAGAACAGCATTGCGTGCCACCTTTAGCTCGTGATGCTCCGCAGCTTTTTTTGGTTTCGGGCTCACGTTGAAGGGACTTCCGCTTCGCTTCCACAACAGTCTGATGTCCACCTATTTCCCTTTCTGCTCTTGTTTCTTGCCTTCTTTTCCTTAGGGGAGTCATTTTATCGAGTTCTCTTCTCGACGTCCAATTAGTTTTACTGCTTGTGGTTTTAGATGTTGATTTGAAGCTCGAATGTTTATGCTTCTATGTTTTTTAAACTTTTTTGGCATAGAACCATGTATTTAGGAATTACTTGATGTAATACTTAAACTTTCATTTCATGAAATGATATTTACATTCTTAGCAAAAAAAATAAAAAAATAAAAATAAGATGCTAGTTTATTTGAAGTCGGTCGAGTTTATAGAAACAAAAAATAAAGTCAAACGTGAATAAAATGAAAAGATGTAAACTCAAGAATGAGCATAATGTGTTATCGGGTGTTAAAAAAGGTTTATGAGTTCAGTCCGGCTTTGTTTATTTAAAATTGAAAAAATCATTCTCAGCAACATACATGTAAATGGTATAATTGTTCGTTAATTACATGAACTATTGTTATTACATAAGGACATAAATAAACAAGCATAAGCTATGTATACAATACAATAACCATTTTTTTGGTGACTTTATCGCTGAAATATGGCGTTGACCAATTTTGATCGGCATTGACCAACGTTAAGAATGACTAAAATCTTATTTTAATCGTATTTCTAACTATAACCAGACCGTTTTTCAACCATAACCGTATAAAACGGTTAAAAACCATAACCGTTAACTGTAAAAATAAATCTGTCACAGTTATAAAAAATATTAATCGTAATCGTTATCAACCGTAACCGTATAAAACCGTTAGTTAACCGTACGATTAACCTTAAAATTAAACATAGAATAAAAATTAGTGGTGTGGGTACCGAAATTGGCGTTCCGGGCTAACAGCCCATTCCGTTTAGGCCCGTTGGCGAAGGTCCATTATTGGAACTGCCCAGCCCATCAGGCGGAGTCCAGTAGGAGCTGAAGGTTTGAAAGGAGAATCAAAACGGGCTATCAGCGGGTCAAGCGGCGCCTTAATGAGAATGGCGCGATTCGCGGAGCAAAGTTCGCTGCGCGTTCAATGCTTGCCAGAGTAGTATAAGTAGGAGGAAAAACAAAGTGTAAAGGGGTCGTATTTTTGGCAAAAGATACTAAATAAAACTAAGCAATTTTCTCTCAATCATTTCGCAATTCTGTTCACTAGTTCGGACAGGGAATTAGGAGCCCACTCGAGTTCACTCCGTTTTCAGTTCGTGGATTTCAGCTCCCACATTTTGGCGCCGTTTGTGGGGATTCTTATTCCCTAACCCACCGATTCCCTGTTTCCAACCTTCCGTCCTCATTCTAGCAAAATGTCGAGCGATGATAGTCAGGTAACCCTCGTTTCTATTCAGAAGTTATTGCAGGATTTATCCGGGAAGACAGAGCAGCAGCAGTTAGCTACAGCTGCGCTCTCGGAGAAGCTCGGAGGATTCGAGGAGCGGTCCACCGCTCAGGTGGCCGCCTTGTCCGAAACCGTCTCCGAGCTGTCCAACGCTCACAACGCTTACGCAGCCCAAGTGGACGCGCTTGTGGAAGGGACATGTGTCAGTACCACGCTCCGCCGGTCCCATATGCTCGATTTTGGTGGGGGGTTACCAGCGACGTCCCCGGGGAGCGGGCGACCAGTTCCCCCAGTCGCTGTGAACTCGGCAGAAAACCAGCCAAGAGAGGCTGGTTTGTCGGCATTAGCACCTCCGCAAGGGACGGCCATTCCGTACCCCGGCCAGGAAACTCATCCTCCCGCGAGTAGGAGCTCCACGCCTGGCCGCATCCGTACTCCGACCCAGGACAGGGCGGTGGTCATGCCCAATCCGGAAATTTCAATCCTCCAGAATGAGATCCGAGCCATGCAGTCAAAGGTCCACCACGCGACGAGCTCCGCCTCGGATATCGATCGAGTTATCGAGGAGTCGAAGAGGACTCCTTTCTCGCCTAGAATCTCGACAATGCGCATTAAGGATGCGCGAAAGGTTAAATTTCTCAGCTATGAAGGAAAGGGTGACCCTAAAGTTCACCTCCACACTTTCCTCCTTACGGTAGGAAGGGTGGACTTTAAGCCTCATGAGGAGGATGCGGGGTATTGTAAGCTCTTGCCGAAAAATTCGTCGGACCAGCCCTCCTGTGGTTTGCCTCGCTTCAAGAAGGGACGATCGACAGCTTCACTCAGCTCTCCACTACATTCGTGAAGCAATATTCGAGTTTCATAGGAGTAGGTGTGACCGACGCTCAGTTGTGGAATTTGAGCCAGGGTCCGAACGATTCACTTCGGTCTTACATCACAAAGTTTAAAGAAATAATGGTCCAGATTCCCGGACTCTCCGACTCGGCGGCATTGTCCGCCCTTAAAAATGGGTTGTGGCACGAGTCTTGACTCAGGGAAGAGCTGACGGTTAACCGCCCTTCTAGTATCCAGGACGCCCTTCATCGGGCATCGAACTGGATCGTAGCGGAGGAGTAGAAAGCCGCACTCGCCAAGAAGTACAAAGTAACTCCCAAGCCGAGCTTCGATCAGGGAGCTAGACGGAGCGTGCAGGGACAAAGGCCGGGACCAGCCACTTTCGCGGTGGACCACCAGAAGGGGGGTCCAAAGGGCGCCCCGTCGAAACAAGGATTCGGACCACGAGGCAGAAACGGGGCCTTACCAAACAATAAGTAGACCCGGGAGGAGAAGGAAGACGATTCTTTTTGCGAACTCCACAAGGTGGCTGGGCACGCTACCCGGAACTGCAAAAAACTCATGAACTTACTCGCTGAGAGGTTCATGAACGGGGGAATGCCGGATATAACAATCGATGAGCTCCATCAAGCAAAGAACGCGGTTCATCTCGTAGCTGAAGAGCTGAACCGCGTTCCCGAGTAGCAGGAACCATAGTCCATGAACTACCCGACGTCCCTACCAAGGCCGTTAGACCTTGATGGAACGTTTCATTGCCGGGGGATCTCCCTGCTCCTGAAAGTGAGGAAAACTCCGAAGCGCCGGCTGGGACCCCAGCAGCCTGATTCCCTTGCCGTGAGGAGCCTGGGGAGGAAGGGCCAGAGGACCCCTCGGGGCTCCCAGAGAAGGACCAAGGAGTGAACTGGAGAGCCGCCATCCTAGACTGCCTAAGGGAAGGTGAGCTGCCCCAAGATAAATGGCAGGCTCGGAAGATTAGAACCGTGTCGGCCCGATTCTGTCTGCACAATGAGGGTCTACTCCGTCGCAGTGTCAGAGGTCCTTATTTAACTTGCATCGCCGGGAAGTCGCCAAGGATAGTGATGCGGTCGGTCCACGATAGACCCAATGGGGATCACGCAGGGGCCCGAACACTGGTAATCAAAATCAAGCGGTACGGTTTCTTTTGGCCAACGATGAAAGCGGACTGTGAAGAGTTTGTAAGAAATTGCGAGAGGTGCAAAAGGCACGCCCCCACTATTCATCAACCCTCGGAACTCATGTCGTCAATCTCGGCTCCCTACGCGTTCATGAGGTGGTCGATGGACATAATAGGGCCTTTGCACAACTCGACGAGGGGGGTGAGGTTCCTGCTAGTCCTCACCGATTACTTTTCCAAGTGGGTAGAGGCGGCCGCGTATTCCGTCGTAACGAGTTCTCAGGTCCAGCAGTTCATATGGAATGATGTGATTTGCCGTCACGGACTCCCGTACGAGATAGTAACGGATAATGGGTCGCAGTTCGTATCGAGGCAGTTCGAAGCATTTTGTGCCCACTAGAAGATTCAGTTGAGCAAGTTTACACCCCACTACCCACAAGGGAACGACCAGGCCGAAGCTATGAATAAAGTAATTTTGGCTAACCTAAAGAAGCGGCTGGATTCATATAAGGGTCGGTGGGCCGAGGAACTACAAGGCGTATTATGGGCAATCCGAACGACGCCTCGGCGGGCAACGCATGAAACCCCTTTTTTGCTGGTGTATGGGACAGAGGCGGTAGTCCTAGCAGAGCTCGCTGTACCAGGAGTCCGGGTAACCACGAACCCCACGATGCCCGAAGAGAATGAAGAATCTCTTCGGGATGCCCTCGATTTCATCGAGGAGAAACGCGATCGGGCTTTAGTTCGTTTGCAGCATTACTAGAGCACGATCGCGAAGTATTACAACTCAAGAGTAAGGGGTCGCGATCTCAACGTGGGCGATCTTGTGCTAAGAAAAGTTTACGAAAATACAAGAGAGCTTAACGCCAGAAAACTTGGTGTGAATTGGGAGGGCCGTTACAAAATTGTTGCTGAGGTGCGTAACGGGGTTTATCGCCTCGAGGAACTGTCCGGAAAGAAGGTCCCCAGGTCGTGGAATGCCCTGCATCTTAAGCGATTCTACACCTTTAAAAAAAAGTAGTGATAAACACTTGTAATCGAACTACGGTGTGCTTGATCCCCTTTTTGGGTACGTAGGCAGCTCGGTTTGTCGAGTCCAGCTAATAATAATATAAGTTCTTTTTAAGCAAGATGGTAATAAAGTGTTGCCACATCTTAAAAACGATATAAAGCAAACTTAGTAGAGTCTGAAGCAATTATAAGAGTGTGACCTCCGTGGTCAAAAACACGTGCATGAATCTTAGGAAGTTCGTAAAATAAGCAAAAAGCAACCGAAAGCAAAAGTAATGATAGCAATAAACAAAAGGGGGGGTCTAAGCCCAATACAACCCCGAATAGGAAGTTAAGTAAGCACGGAGCCCGCGGCAAGGTCTTCGGGGCAGGCCAAAGGGGTGCCACTCGCCTCGCCAACAAGAGCTTCATCACCCCCGGGGTTCATAAAAGCGTTTACCTCCTTGCTGAGGTCCGGCTAGATTGCCTCCAGTTCCTGGTTCGGTATAACAGGCGGTCAGAAGTAGGCTCCTCGATCATAAGGGGAGCAGGAGCGGGGTCAGGCCCGAGTTCGGGGGGGGGGGGGTGGGGGGGGTATCTGCCAATATAGCAGTATACGATGCAGGATCAAACGTTAAGTCCTTTACCTTTTCAGCCTCAAGGCGAGCAGCCTTCTTGTCAGCTTTCAAGGTTTTGAGCTCCTCCTTCAGGTCGGCAATCTCGCCCTTCTCGATCTCTTCCACCAACATCCGGTTGGCGGTGATCTCAGCAGCTCGGCTTGCATGGGGCATTAAGCGGTCATGCTCCTCGAGGTGCGACCCAATTTTGTCGATTGTTTCTCGGAGCTCGGCTCACGTTTTCCTCCGCTCCTCTCTTCGCACCCTCTCCATCTCGGAGTTGTTCCCTGCTTCCAGGAGCTGATTTCTTAGTTTGATCTCCTGGAGTTCCTTCTTTGCCTCTGTCTCGGCAGTGGTCGCCTTCAGGTACAGCTCCCCAGCCAGCTTTAGCTTGTCTTGACAAGCCTCCACGTAGGATTCGGCGATCTGCAGGTTGAGCTTCTTGTTGAACTTGGAGGCCTCCAGGGACTAGTACTTCTTCACCTTCTTCACCTCCGAGCTGTTAAACTCAAAGAGCATCTGCCAAAGACAGGAAAGTGTTTACAAGGGTGAAGGTGCAGCCACTTGCGAAGCAAAAGGGAGTAGGCTTACCTCGCCGACCTTCTCGGCGAAGCGGAAGTAGTCCTCCCGGTTGTTCACGGACATGTCCTTGAAGGCGGGGACCCGAGCTCCGCATCATGTCAGCCAAGGATTTTGGAGGAGCTAAAAATGAAGCTTTTATGTTAGCTCGGGGTTGCTCGTGTATTAGAAGTGAGCTATCAGTAAGTAGTTTACCCGGGAGTTCGCGCCTCGGAGTTGCCTTCGGATCAGCGGAACTCGGAGCCGCAGGCAAGGAGCCCTTCGGGGCAGGGGTCTCGGCGGGCTTCTCCTCAGCTCATGGCTTGGAGCTCGAACGTACCGGACAAGCGGGTTCCGCGGCTTTCCGCTTCTTTGACCCGCTGGCTTGACCCTCTTCAGGAGCTGGGCGAGCGGCAGGAGATTCAGCGCTGAGGTCGCTGTCGGGCAGAGTGATCACCTCGCGAACCATTTTCTTCTTTAGTTCATTCTCTTTCAGCTCCATCTTTTTCTTGTGAGCCCTCTCTTCGCGGTAGTTCATCTTGGGAGGGGCAGACTGAGGAGAAGAGATAGTAAGAAACCTAGTACGGATGCGGGCACCTGCCTCACGGATATGGGGGCAGGTGAAGGAGTCCCACGCAGTTTCAGCACTGCAGAAGGTAACGAAATAGTTCGCGAAGGTTTGAGATAATGGTCCGCGCTCAAGGGAAGCTAAAAAAAAAGGAGAAGAGAAAACGAGTTAGTACCCCGAACTGATAGGTGATAGCAAGAAATTTTCGAATCTTCTCGCAGTTCTACCAGGTTTCTGAGACCAGTGCGGGACAAGCAGCTCCTGCAAATCACCGAAGGTGGCCCGGTTAACCGGGAAGAAGAAATACCCACTTCGGTACTGTTCGTCTTTCTCAGGGAAGTCGTCAAAGACTCGGAACCCGGCCAGCGGGCTGAGATAGAAGGTCCCTCTAGTCCGGCCACTCTTTATTGTGTAAAGGTGGAGGATGTCCTGGAAGGTGATGATGTAGCCGTGCTCTTCGGCTAAGGTCTGCAGACAAAGAATAGTCCGGACGAAGTTCGGACATAGCTAGGGGAGGGTGATGCCGAGGGCGAACATCGCCTTCACCAGAAGCTCCGGCAGCAGAAAATATAGGCCGCACTTTGAGAAAAATATCTCGTAGGCACAGCAGTACCCGGGAGGAGGATCCTCCAGCGACAGATCATCCCCAGGAGCGATGAGCTCCGTCTCAGACGTAAGGCCGCAGAGGAACTTTACGTGTACTAAATCTTCCTCGCCTATCGTCGACCTGGGATGCGGGCCGAATTGACTGGAGAGGGAAGCGTCTCCGGCTTTTGGAGTTTGCTTGGGCGGCGACATGCTTAAGCTTAGTTTGGGAACGGAGTGGAAGTAGCAGAAGATACGGCGAGGAGAAGCGTCGGGCAAAACAGAGAAAAATAGAAGAAGCGAGAGAGAAATTAAAAAGAAAAACGAAGGAGGGAGGCTCTACCTTTATAGCGTCTCGGCGGCTGCAACCCAATGATTACCTAGGGAAGCTAGAAGGTCGCGTTTTATAGCCGGCAACCTAGGGATTCCAAAGCAGCAAAACCGGGGCACGGTAATCCGAAAAGGCAACCTTGAATAAAAACAAATCAATCATATCAGATTCGGGAATCGAAGTTTCTTTAATTGTGTGGCATTAAAGTCTCCCAAACTGAACCACTTCGGAAGACTTTGGGGGCTTACTGTGGGTACCGGAATTGGCGTTCCGGGCTAACAGCCCATTCCGTTTAGGCCCGTTGGCGAAGGCCCATTATTGGAACTGCCCAGCCCGTCAAGCGGAGTCCAGTAGGAGCCGAAGGTTTGAAAGGAGAATTAAAACGGGCTATCAGCGGGTCAAGCGGCGCCTTAATGAGAATGGCGCGATTCGCGGAGCGGAGTTCGCTGCGCGTTCAATGCTTGCCAGAGTAGTATAAGTAGGAGGAAAAACAAAGTGTAAAGGGGTCGGATTTTTGACAAAAGATACTAAATAAAACTAAGCAATTTTCTCTCAATCATTTCGCAATTCTGTTCACGAGTTCGGACAGGGAATTAGGAGCCCACTCGAGTTCACTCCGTTTTCAGTTCGTGGATTTCAGCTCCCACAAGGGGGATTTGCACAAATAACTTTTTTAGGTTACCCTTTTGTAAGAATACCTTCTTTTGGTGTTCATTTAGAAAATACCTTCTTCCGTGTACAAAATAACTAAATCAGCCTCCTTTAATATATCACATGATGAAGATAGGAATATTATTTCCAAATTCCAACAAAAAGAATATTCCTTCCGAAAATTTTCCCCCCAAAAATTTCCGACAAATTTTTTTCCGCCAAAACATTTTACCGCCAAATTTTCAGCCATAATTTTTCCGCATTTCCTTAAAAAACCTTGTAAATATTTTTAAAACCTTAAAAACTCTTTTTAAAACCCTTGTAAATCTTTTAAAAGTCATTCAAAACCTTCAAAAACTTTAGTAAACCTTTTAAAACCTTTGTAAATCATTTTATAACATTTATAAATTTTGGTAGGAAAATATTTTGGCGGGAAAATTTTTGGAAAGAATATTCCGTTCAAAGGAAAGAATATTTTTTCAACTAGAGGTAAAATGGTCACTAAAATTTAAGAGAGGGCAAAAATGATTATGACAAAAAAAGAGGATAATTTTGCAAAAGGGTATGATAAAAAGGTTATTAGAGATAATTTATCTAAAAATTATCTCATTAAAACAATGTTTTAAATGGTTAAATATGTTGATGACAAAAAACAAAATGGTTAAATATGTCAACTAGTAACCCTAATCCATTCCACTACTCATTTCCATTAATCAAATCAAAAATAATTTAATTTAAATATTTGTAGGTTCATAACCATTAGTTTATATATCTGTAGTTGTATTTGATTAAACAAAAATCATTTCTTTAACTAATGTACTATAAATATTTGAATAATATAATTACATATATTTCATATTTATAAATAAACATTATTTGATATGGTAAGAAAATATAAAATTTTGCCTTTAATATTATTTATATCATAAACATCAAATAACCGTAACCGGATTTAACCGTAACTGTATATAACCATAACTATTTCCCAAATGTATTTTCATACCCAAACTCGCGTACTCTGAATTTTACAACCCAAACTAGCTTTCAATTCAAATAACCAACTAGAACTATATCAAATTTTGTCAATTTCAACCTCGACGTTAACAGTATCCCTGCCCATCTTGAAGATTTGGACAATTAAGCTTAAGCTTAAGCTTAATTTCTCTTGGTTTTTACAGAAGCTTAAGCTTGATTGTCCAAATCTTCAAGATGGGCAGGGATACTATTAACGTCGAGGTTGAAATCGACAAAATTTGATGTGGTTCAGGTGGGTTATTTGAATTGAAACCTGGTTTGGGTTGTAAAATTCAGAGTACGCGAGTTTGGGTATGAAAATACCTTCGAGAAATAGTTTGGGTTGATTTTCCCCGTTTTCCTTAACTATAACCGTTGTAACCGTATATATAAAAGTTAAGGTTATGGTTAAAAAATATTTATAACCATAACCGGTGGTTAATAAACCGTAACCATCGTCATGCCTAACCGACGATGACCAACAAAAAATTCAAAAAAAAAATCCATAATTATTTTATTTTTTATTTTAACTATTTTTGATAAATAGGTAAATATACTACATAATTTTACAAAACAAATATCAAAACATATTATAAAAGTAATTTTTTTTATCTCACATTAAAATTCAAAACTTATATCTATATATATAAAGTTAACTTTTTCTCTCTTCTCCTTATGCCACATCATCATCCACCTCATTTTATTATTTAATTTTTAAAATTAATTATACCATTTTATCATTTAATTTTAAGATTTAAACTTATGTAAATAAGTTTTTCAAAAAGGAATATCAAAGGTTTTTTCTATATTATACATTATAAAACTAAAAAGATGATTTGTTTAAAAGTTAAAAAAACTTACTAATTATCGATTATACTAAGAAATATATATGATTATATTTACACAATGTAAACCCAAATATTATGGGATTTAACGAGAATAGTAAAGAAAGTAAGAAATTTTGAGAATATAAATCTATGTAATTTATGTCTCACAAAAATTTCTAACATAAATGAGATAGGTCGGACCGAAACATCAATTCTCATTTTTTTTAAACGTATAAAAACGTGAAAATAAAAATAATATTTTTTAAAGGTTTCCAATATGAATTTAACTAATTTTTTCCAATACAACACATATGTTAAACTAATAAAAGAGTAAAAAATTAACAATATTTCATAAAAATTGAAAATTAACAAAAGACAGTATTAAATGAAATAAACTAAATATAAAGTAAATTATACTGATATGTTAAATTTAAAAATTGTTCCATATGAAAAAATAAAATATATATATATATAACATAAAATCAGAAACAAATATATAATAGTATAAAAATGATCATTACGAGATATAATTACGACAAATCAAAAAATGAATAACATAAAAAAATAAAATTATGACAATATATAAAGAGATAATGTAAACAATTAAAAATATAACAATCCGCCCGAAACCCACAAATCATGTTCAAATTTCATGCCAACATATAAAAGGCACAAAATATTAACATCTAGATCTATATTTGGTAGAAACCCTAATAGCACACGTTTCTCAATAATTTTTCACCGCATTTCCGTTTACGCCCACACTTCGACTTATATTATACACACTTAATTTCTCAACAACTAATGAGGCTAAAACTCAATAGTTTTTCTATACAAACACAATCTAAGTTTTAAAAAAGTAAAGTATGGTATAGTGAAAAAAGAAGTAGAAAATAAAATACAAATCAATTACTCATATACAACATAATAAATTCCCGCGCGTAGCGCGGGCAACCGACTAGTACCAAATAAATTTGGGGGATTCACACAACTAACATTTTTATGATAGATACCCTTTTCTATAAGTACCCTCTCTAGGTGTCCATTTTCAAAAATACACTCTTCTATGTACAAAATGACTAAATTACCCTTTTTATAACATTTATAAACACTTGTAAATCCCTTCAAACCCCTTATAACCGTGATAAATCATTTAATAAAAGATTTTATAAACTTCTAGATCCCTTTCTAAACCCTTGTAAATCCTTAAAAACCATTTTAAAGAACTTGTAATACATTTAAAAAGTTTTGTAAACCCTTTAAAAACCTTTGTAAACTTCTAAAATTCTTTAAAATCCCTTGTAAGTCCTTTAAAACTATTTTTAAATCTTTGTATGCCTTTAAATACACTTGTAAATCCTTTTTAAAACACTTGTAAATCCTTTTTAAAAACCTTTAAAAATCCTTGTAAATATTTAAATCCTTTAAAAATCCTTTAAATCCTTTTAAAACTGTTATAAACTTATAAAAACTTTTAAAAACCATTGTAAATCATTTAAAAACCATTACAAATCTTATGAAAACCATTTAAAAACTCTTGTAAATCCCTTTAAAACCTTTAAAAGACCCTTTAAAAAACTTGTAAACCCTTTAAAATATATGGCGGGAAAATTTTGTAAAAATATTTTGTTTTTGGGGGAAAATTTTTGCGGAAATTTTTTGGCGGGAAATTTTTACTCGGAAATTTTTTTGGCGGGAAATTTTTGGGGGAAATTTTTTTGAAAGGAATATTCCTTCCTTTGGGAAAGAATATTCTTTCAACTAGGGGTAAAATGGCCATTAAAATTTAAGAGAAGGCAAAAATGAAAATTGCAAAAAAGAGGGTATTTTTAAAAGAGGGTATCATAAAAAGGTTATTGATATCAGTTTCTCAATAAATTTTGTGAAATATTTGGTTATACAATTTTGGTAATACAAAAAAAAATATACCAAGTAAAGAAAGTATACCACAAAATTTTTACGTGGTAAATTTAGTTATATATATATAGTAATATAACAAAATATTAAAAAATCATTTTTTTCTTTTGTAAAGTCGTAGGCCGGGGTTTTAAATATGTTTTGAATTTTTATTTATACTAGGTTTTAACCCACGGTACACCGCGAGACGATTGTTTTGACTAAACAAAATATATATGTAAGTTATATTTGTTAATTTTATTACCTTTTTAGTGTTTAAGATTGTGTAACTGTATTTTTGATTGTTATTTTTATTACTTAACTCGCGGGATATTTTTTTATAACTCGTGGGACTAAAAAATTATGTTTAAGTTATATTTGTTATTTTGTTTTGTTAACCCATAAGATAACTCGTAAGAAAAACATATAACTCAAACCCGTTAAATCATATTTATGTAAATATAAACCTTGAATAATTTATAGATTTCGAGAGA